TTTTTTTGAGATGGAGTCTCTCACTGTCGCCTAGGCTGGTGTGCGGTGGCGCCATCTCAGCTTACTACAACCTCTGCCTCCCAGGTTCAAGCGATTCTCCTGCCTCAGACTGCCAAGTAGCTAAGATTACATGCCCGGCTAATTTTTTGTATTTTCAGTAGAGATAGGGTTTCACTATGTGAGCCAGGCTGGTCTTGAACTGACCTCATGATCCACTCACCTCGGCCTCCCAAAGTGTTGGGATTACAGGCGTGAGCCACCACACACAGCCTCAAACTTCTTAATATGGTGAAGTATGTTTTGCCATCTCCCCTGTCCTGCAGGGGAACCTCCAGCTGCTGCCACGTGATGACCCCAGACAGAGCCTGCTGCCTCTGCCTCTGCATTCATTCTATTCTGTGGTTTCCACACCACCTCCTTCCCTTGGTGAGCTCCTGGACATACATGTTGTACCTTCCTCCAAGCCTAAGTCTCCTTAGCTTCCAAGATCAGACGAGATCAGGTGTGTTCAGGATGGTGTGGCCATCATCACAAGCCCTGCCTAATCTGTAGCAGCTGGGGTGCCCCGGCCCTGTGCTCCCTGAGAATGTACCAGTCCCCTGGATCCTGGCTGTCTGTCTACACACATGTGTCCTGTAGACCTGGACACCTGCCAAGAGGCCCTCCTCTCACCCTGGCCCGGTATTGAGCCATTAGGGCTGGGGGATCGCAGGCACACAGAGGAGGCACAGGGACCTGAACATTGACACGAACAATGTTAACTTACAGCAGTAGTCGCATTTTGAATATCATTCCCAAATTTGAAGAAAAATGACAATGCCTATGAAAACCACACAAAGTATGTTTGGGGCTATCTATGATTTGGAAATTATCAAAGCCCACAGTCCTCGTGGAGGGCAGGGCAGTGGGGAGCAGGGCCCCCTGATATTGGTGGTCTGAGCACTCTCTTATCACTGCACAAACGCCGGGCAACTTAACAGTTTTGAGGGCAGATTGGCCATAAGTTTACCCAGAGCTGACACCGCGAAGTCATTGTCAGGACCTAGGCTACATCAGCCAGGTGTAACCTCCAGGCCGACTAGGCCAGAAGCCACCTGAATGCTGAGATCTACCTGGGGAACCAAGTGACAGGCTGGCTCTGGCATCCCCAGGGATCGGTGTAAACATTGGCCCTGAGCATGTCACTCCATCGCTCACAACCAGCCTCAGTTTCCTCCTCCAAGAAGTGGGGATAATAACAGACCCCAGCAGATGAGCCTCGGAGGCTTAATACATGTGAGATGCTTCATTTCTGGCATAGAGTCGGCCCTAGCATAGTCTCTAGCACACAGCACTTAACAAAGGTGTTATCATTTTTGAGGCAGAGTCTCGCTCTGTTGTCCAGGCTGGAGTGCAGTGGCGCAATCTTGGCTCACTGCAACCTCCGCCTCCTAGGTTCAAGCGATTCTTCTGCCTCTGCATCCTGAGTAACTGGGATTATAGGCGAGTGCCACCATGCCTGACTAATTTTTGTACTTTTAGTAGAGACAGGGTTTCACCGTGTTGGTCAGGCTGGTCTCGAACTCCTGACCTTGTGACCCTCCTGCCTCAGCCTCCCAAAGTGCTGGGATTACAGGCATGAGCCACTATGCCCAGCCTTGTTATTATTAAGGAGGACAAAAATATCAGACAAACTGATGGTGGGCTGGGGTCTCCTGGGGAGAATCGTCTCCAGGCCAGCAGCAGCCTTTGGATCTCTGAGGGTCACAGATGTTCAGTTGGGGACATTCCAGGGAGAAAGATCTGGGCTCAACTGAGAAGCACTTTTATCTTTTTTTGAGACAGGGTCTCACTCTGTTTCCCAGGCTGGAGTCGAGTGGTGCGATGTTGGCTTACTGCAAACTCCCCCTCCTGGGTTCAAGTAATTCTCCTGCCTCAGCCTCCCAAGTAGCTGGGATTATAGGCACATGCCACATGCCCAGCTAATTTTTGTATTTTTAGTAGATACAGGGTTTCACCTTGCTGGCCAGGCTGGTCTCGAACTCCTGGCCTCAGAGATCCACCTGCCTTGGCCTCCCAAGTGCTGGGATTACAGGTGTGAGCCACCACGCACAGCCTGAGAAGCACTTTTCAAAGTCCAAGCTGCCCAGAGTGGAGCTGCGTCCTCTGAGATCCCATGAGGTCTCCACACTGGAAGTGCATAAGCAACACTCACCTGGTCCCCCCACCCGCCTGGCTCTTCTCTACCCAGCTCTTCCCACTTAAGTCTTGTGGTGGCACCCATAAGATTGCCCTGATCCAGACTCTGCCCCTAGAAATGCCACCTCTTATAGACCCTGTGAGATGCCCATATCACCCTCTTGGCAGGGGTCCTGATGAGGACTCAGCCACTGACAGCCACGAGGAAGGCACCCCTAACCCCGTCTGACTTGGAGCTTCCTCTGAGCCCCCACCTGACCCTGCCATGGGACACTCACCCTTGGGAACTCCAGGAAGAGGACATGGACTTCGAGGATGGCGTTGGGGACCTGAGCCACACAGCCCTCCAGGACCTGGCTGGTGGTGTATGTCACCTCGCCCCTCTCAGGGTCCAGAGGCTGAAGGTCACAATGGACTGTTTCTTCAAGATCTGTTGGAGAAACATCCAGAAAGAGGCCAGGTGAGAATAAGGTGATGACACTGACTCTACTTTGCAAATGTCTCCTAGGGACTCGACACGCGCTAAGGGCTTTACTGCACTGTCAGCCACCTTACGGCATGGATATCGTTATAGCTATTCCATGGATAAACCCAGGCCTGGAGAGGAAACATCTCTGCTCAGGGTCAGTGCTGCTTGGTATAGGACTGACGAATTAGAAGACACCCAGCTAAATTCAAATTTCAAATAAACAATGAGTATTTTTAAGTATTAATATATTGCAAATACTGCATAGAACATATTAATCCTAGATAAATTTTCATTGTTTATCTGAAATTCAGATTTCACTGGGCCTTCTATATTATTTATTTATTTAGATAGAGTTTTGCTCTTATTGCCCAGGCCAGAGTGCAATGGCGTGATCTCAGCTCACCGCAACCTCCGCCTCCCGGGTTCAAGTAATTCTCCTGTCTCAGCCTCCCAAGTAGCTGGGATTACAGGCATGCGCCACCACACTTGGCTAATTTTCTGTATTTTTAGTAGAGAGGGGGTTTCTCCATGTTGGTCAGGCTGGTCTCGAACTCCCGACCTCAGGTGATCTGCCCACCTCGGCCTACCAAAGTGCTGGGATTACAGGCGTGAGCCACCATGCTGATCTTTTTTTTTTTTTTAATTTAATTAACTAATTAATTAAGAAGGGATTTTACTGTGTTGCCCAGGCTGGTCTTGAACTCCTGAGCTCAGGCAATCTGCCCACCTTGGCCTCCCAAAGTGCTAGAATTACAGACATGAGCCACTGCGCCTGGCCCTATTTTTAATTTTTTTTTTTGAGGCAGACTCTGCTCTGTTGCTCAGGCTGGAGTACAGTGGCAAAATCATAGCTCACTGCAGCCTCCACCTCCCAGGCTCAAGTGGTCCTCCCATCTCAGCCTCCTGCGTGGCTGAAACTACAGGCATGCACCACCACACCCAGCTAATTTTTGCATTTTTATAGAGATGGGGTTTCACCATGTTGCTCAGGCTGGTATTGAGCTCCTGGACTAAAGGGATCCTCCCATTTCGGCCTCCCAAAGTATGCGGATTACATGCATGAGCCACCATGCCTGGCCTATTTTTATTTGATGTGTCTGGCAACCCTAGCTTCGTGGCAGGGCCCAGGTGTGAACTGACATCTCCCTCCAGAAAGGCAGGAGCTGAGCTCAGGAGACAAAGCTTCCCCTCTCGTACCTCAAGGCAGTGGGAGGAATGGCCTGAAGGGGTTGAGACTTCCCTGGCCCCAAGGGACAGGGTGAGCCGACAGGGCGGCCCAGGTTCGGAGGGAGGCTGCGGGAGCCCGCAGAGCCCAGAAACACAGGTCCTGAGGGAAAGGAATGGAATTTCACCCTGACCTAGCAGGAGAGGAAGAGGAAATGAGGCCCCACACCTCGTCCTGAGGAATGTGCCAGGGAGGAAGGGGGGCTCCGGAGGAGGGAAGGAGGACAGAGAAGGGGAGACTGTTTGGAAGTTTGTGTCTCCATCTTGTCGCGCTTACTTCCTGTTTTCTTGGAGATCAAAGATGGGCGCGGAGAGACTGGCCTCATGTCCAGCCAAGGCCGGCTCGGAGGAGGGGGCAGGGAGGCTTCCTCCGAATCCCGGGCTGTCTGGAGCCTCACCGGCCTCCTTCTGCACCTTTCCACTGCATGCTGGGCTCTGGGCCCCAGAAGTCAGCAAAGGACGTGGGACAGCCGCCCCTTGCCATGGCAACGCCATTCCCAGCTCTATCTTGTGAAGGAGAAGATCTGGAAGGGGACCCTTGGCTGCCGGGGCCCAGGCCTTGTATGTCCTCCCTCTGGCCCTACCCTGCACGTCCCAGGGACTCTGGAGTGCCTGGGCATAATGGCATTTTGGTTAAAAGCAAGCTCCCTGGAGCCAGGCCGACCTAGCTTGCCTCTCAGGCCCAATGCTTACAAGCTATGTGGCTTTGGTGAATGATTTCACCCCTTGAGGCTTCAATTTCGTGGTCTGTAAAATGACAGCAAATAGAACCCACATGATCCATAGAGGTGGTTGGGAGGACTCCATGAGACTGGGCACATGGCAATTCTTTCTTACATTTCTATTTATTTATTTTTCAGATAAGGTCGCACTCTGTTTCCTAGACTGGCGTGCAGTGGTGTGATCATGGCTCACTGCAGCCTTGAGCTCCTGGGTTCAAGCGATCCTCCTGCCTCAGCCTCCTCAGTAGCTGGGACTACAGGTGTGTGCCACCACGCATGGCTAATTTGTTTTATTTTTAGTAGAGACTGGGTCTCGCTCTGTTGCTCAGGCTGGTCTCAAACTCCTAAGCTCAAGCAATTCTCCCACCAGAGCCTCCCAAAGTACTGGGATTACAGGTGTGCGCCACCGTGCCTGGCCGGCAGTTCTCTTAATTACAATTATTTTACTGACCTCAGTCACTATAGAATTGACTGATCTAAGGGGTGGGGTGAAGTGGCGTGCTGGGCAGCCTCCAGGTGATGGTCCTCTGGGATGGAGAGGCCACTGGGGCCTCCCTCACCCCAACAAACTCAACGGCCTATGCTACCTCCTGTTTCCACCTGCTCTGACCCAGCAGCCCCGTGTTCTCCCCACCCTCTCCTTTCCTCATCAGCGAGCACAGGTTCCTTGGCTATTACCTAGTTTAAGCCTCTCCTACTCAGATGGGGAGACTGAGGCCTGGAGGGGCGGGACACGTCAAAGTTTCACAGCACATGGCTGACCAGGCCGGGCCTCGGACCCACGTCTCCCGACATGACCCAGTGTCTGGCCTGCAGATTGTCACAGCACCTCCCTCTTTCCCTTTGGGACTTTCCCTGCCCCCTCCCCAGACTTCCAGGAACCCCAGTTCCTCCCGGATTGCTGAGGCCGCCTGGGGCCGCCTCCTCCATGCCGTCAGCTGGCGGGAGAGGCCACAGGCCTGGCCATTATGTAATGATCAGATAACAGGCCTGGCGGGGAGATCAGATAAGAGGTCCATTTATTTTGGGGACTTTTCGAATCCTGGCCACCCCCACCCCTCAGACGAGAATGGGGAGACAGGAGGGAGTGTGACGCCTGGGCCTGTCTCCCGGAGCCTGAGGCGGGCCCAGACCAAGCTGAAAACAATCCCCTGGCACCAAGGGAAACGCCAGGACCTCCCGGGACTGGGTCAGAGGAGGAGCCACTGGGGGCCTGGGTGACTGGAGCCCCAAGTGAGAGACTCAGGAGCCACCTCTCACCACTGTCCCCTCTCCACTCACGTGCACACAGCGCCTCCCAGACCTTCCAAACGGCTACCTCCAGGACCCTGGAGGACGATCAAGAAAAACAGCTCTGGAGCCAGATGGCCTAGGTCAAATCCCAGCTCTGCCTCTCAAAATGCTGGTCACCTTGAACAGAAGCCTGACTTCTCTGAGCCTCAGTTTCCCCATTTGCAGACCAGCAATCATTGCTGCAGCTGCTCCCATCATGCTTACTGGGAGCCTAGGTAACATTTCAAGGCTTTACACGGGTGTACTCATTTGATCCTCACAGCAGCCTCATGAGGTGGAGGTGGCAGCTGCTATCACACCCCTGAACACTCAAGAAAACTGAAGACCAGGGCAGTTAAATAATGTGTCCGAGGTCACCTGACTACTCAGTGCTGGGGCCTGGATTTAACCCAGGTAGTCGGGCTCCAGCAAGCTGTGGGCACTCGCAGGCCGACTGTCAGTTTGATGGGGCGACCCTGTCAAGTGCCTGCTACGGAGTAGGTGCCCCAGACACAGAAGCTGTGAGTATTATTTCATCATACCAGAGCACAGATACTTTTCTTCCCTGCCCCTCTTTTTTTTTTTTTTTTTTTTTGAGATAGAATCTCATTCTGTCACCCAGGCCAGAGTACAATGTCTCGAGCTCGGCTCACTGCAACCTCCTCGTCCTGGGTTCAAGCAATTCTCACGCCCTCAGCCTCCTGAGGAGCTGGGACCACAGGTGCACCACCACACCCCGCTAATTGTTGTATTTTTTGTAGAGACTGGGTTTTCGCCCTATTGCCCAGGCTGGTCTCAAACACCCGGGCTCAAGCAGTCTGCCTGTCTCAGCCTCCCAAGGCAGACACTTTTCAGTGAGTCTTTTTTGCTGCAAAGCCTGCCCCACCTTGTTCAGCACCACACACACACACCCCAGCCACCCTTTGCTCTTTTCAGGTTCAATTACAGCCTCACAGATTTCCCAGCATCCAGCCCAGTCACTGTGCCCAGCCACAGCAAGGTCTCAGCGCACCTTGGCCCCGGGCGCCCCCATGGTTCCGCAATGCCTGCAGCGTCAAGTTCCCACAATGCAGCCTGAAGTGGAGGCGAAAGGCACAGCGATTGGCCCGATGCGGGGGCTCATACCTGTAATCCCAGCATTTTAGGAGGCCAAGGTGGGTGGATCACCTGAGCTCTGGAGTTCGAGACCAGCCTGGCCAACATGGCAAAACCCATCTCTACTAAAAATACAAAAACTAGCCAGGCGTGGCGGCGTGCGCCTGTAATCCCACCTACTCGGGAGGCTGAGGCAAGAGAATTGCTTGAACCCTGGACGTGGAGGTTGAAGTGAGCCAAGATTATGCCACTGCACTCTAGCCTGGTTAACAGAGCAAGACTCTGTCTCAAAAAAAGCAAAGCAAAGCAAAGCAAAGCACAGCAATCTGACAGATATCAAAGATGCCGAAGGTTCAGGTCCCGATTCTTCCACCCGCCAGCTGCCTTTCCACCCTCAGGGTTCTCATCTGTAACGTGGGGATGAGGGTCATCACAGCTTCCTATGGAGGCGGTGAGCCAGCTGGTAAATGACACCAGCACAGCACTAGGCCAGGTCCTGATAAGTTGGGCTTGCTCAGGAACTGGTGACTGCTGTCACAATTATTTATGCCTCGTCAGTGGGGATATGTGGGCTCTTCCCTCAAACACACCTCGCTCCTGCCCCTACCATGCCCTTTCCCAGACCAGCACTCATCCTTTGTTTGACCA